ATATTTCAGCAATTAATGTACATGTATGATTTACAGTAAGCAAACTCTATCAAAATGGCAATTGAAACTTCCACTAAAAAGTGAGACATTGCTCTTTTCAAACAGGTGCGTAGATCCATATTGATGACATATCAGGAATATGCCATCATATAGGCCAACATCATTAAAAAAATACTTTTATGGTCAGTATTTTTTTTTTAATGAAAAAGTTTTCTATTTCAAATAAATGCTGTTCTTTTTTTTATAGTATCATAAACAAAACCCCTGAAAAAAAATGCATCAGAAAAATATAAATCAACATTGATAATAATAAATTATTCTTGAGTGGCAAATTAGCATATTAGAGTAATTTCTAAAGGAAGTTGTGACACTGAAGACTGGTGTAATGACTGCTGAAAAAACAGTTTTCAATCACAGGAATAAATGACATTTTAAAACATATTACAACAGAAAACAGTTATTTTTAAATTGTAATAATATTTTACAATATAACTGTTTTCACTGTATTTTTGAGCAAATAAATGCAGCCTTGGTGAGCATAAAAGACTTCTTTCAAAAACATTAAAAAAATATTACCAACCCCAAACTTTTGAATGATTTATGATAATATATTTTGCTACGTTATATTTTTGAAATTCTTATCAAATATGCATAATTAATAAAGACAAAGTAGTATGAACATATCCAAATAATAATTGAAGGCATTGATAATTAAAGAAACAACAGTTAATCAAAGTCTTAATTCAAATGATCTGTTTAACATTACAAATTATAATGAGCACCATTACTTTAACTTCCATTACTACGGCCACCATATAGTGAGCACTAAATTTCTCCTTTTTTTCTTTGTTACGTGTGGTCTTTATACAGTCTCTGACAGATCTCAGTGCAGAAGTGCAGTGAACAGTCTGCCGGTTAAGGGTGAATATATTCCCCAACATCTGGCCGTGGTTGCTAACCATTTATGGGTGTTAATTTGTGCTACCACTGTTTATAAAGTTCAAGGATAATTACCACAGAGGTCAAGTCACAACAGAAATTAGCGAGTCAAGGGGCTTCTCTGGTCTCACAATGTGTCTGGAATCTTCCACCCCTACAGAGTTGAGGCTCTCAGGGTGATTAGGGTAATGTTTCAACATTACTAATGCAGATGTTGGCTTTGCCCATACGCATCTGGGCCCTGGTGCGTGTGCCGTGCACTTCACAACGAGCACGGCACATGTGAAGCTATGTGCGCGGCTAATTCACTGCCTGAAAATGCCTTTGCTTTGGAGCCAGACTTGCCAGTATAAACAGAAAGACTGATGTGTTGAGCGTGTTGATGAGGGAGGCCAGCGGCTGCACCTGTGTAAACAGTACACTCTCTCCCTGAGGAACTGAACACCACAGCTGCAAGACAACCGCCTATCACTGCCAGAGGAGGCTGTGGAAACGTCTCAACTCTGATCGTACATGCAGATACCAAACTAACTACCACCTAATCTAGGTTAGAGTGTCAAACGGTCCCAATGTCTTTTGAAGCCTGTCAGCAAATGTGGAATTATAGGAATATGGGGCACCTGGTGTAAGGGCCAGTTTCACAGTGGCTAGTGAGATTCTAGTGATTCATTGTTTGCTGAGGAATATTTGACACAGAAACACATGTTCCTTTCCCTCGGTTAATTCAATAACTCAGATCACAGAACGTTCTCTGAATTTCTCCTTAAAAAATAGCTCCCAGTCTCAGATTTCATCCACTAAGGGTCTTGAACATTCTCAAAGGCTGGAGTTGATCAAGGTCAGGTCGTTGACTAATCCTCAAAACTCCAGATGCGGAAGATAGCCAACCTCCTGGGCTTTTACAAAACACAAATTTGCATGTAAGCTTTACTTCAAAAGAGCTCTTCTTCATATTAAAAAAAAAAAGGAATTGGAAGAAATGGTAAACATGATAGTAAACAGAGACAGTGAAATGTTCTTACCTTTTTTCTCTTTTATTAGTGTTTTTTGAGAGCATGCAGCCATGCATAAAAGACAAAATCAGATACATCAAAAAAGTAAAACAAAATAGTTGCCATTAAGCATCTTAATTAAGGATTAGAAAGCATGTAACATAAAAGGGACAACACAACAAACAGAGACAACAACAAATAAATTGACTTTCAGCTCATCAGTATCATACATCTAGCCAGCAGCACTAAAATATTTTTTTACAAATATTAACACTTTACTTTAAGCTTTTTGTGTGTGTGTGTGTGTGTGCAGCCTGGTCTCATGTTTATGCGTAGGTATTAATACGTAACATTTACAAGCACAAAACGTACATTTTTGTACGTTTTTATTGATGCTAAAACTTACAATTTAGACGTATTTCAACGTTTAAAACGTACAAATCGCTACGTATTTTTAGCTAAAAAACGTAAAAATATTTACGTATCTTTTATATCATTAAGATATTCGTATCAATGCATTTGTATCATTTTATCAATAAGCGATTTAGATTTTGACCCCTTAACCTACCCCAAACCTTAACCTACCCATTTTACAGCGAATATGCATTTTTATCATTTTATTAATAAGCAATTAAGATTTTTAGACCCCTTAACCTACCCCAAACCTTAACCTAACCATTTTATAGTGAATATAAAAGGATATAAAATGCAATTGACCAAAATATGTAGGAAAATAACCATTTTAGTAACAATATAGCATTAAAATATTTTTATAGTCGCTAATCCCACTCCTACCTATAAACCTAAACATTTCTGTACAGTATAAGAAAAACATGACAGACAGATAAATGCAATTAAAAAAAAAAAAATTATTTATTGCAAAAATGTCAAAAGCAGTACCAAACGTAATCCAAATGACGATGCGTTGCAGCCGCGGTCCTCTCTGGCGGAATACAGTAGGTTTGTGAGGTGCAGAGCAGAATTTATGTTGTTAATCGCTGAAAATATTATCCAGATAATTTTCCCGATCCACTCCGTGAACTCGTGAAGGCGCGCGCGCATCATTCAAACACACTTCACCAGAAACATGACATGTCGCACGCAATCTGTGGCGAATGCAGGCAAGAGCGAAATGAGTGTCATTTGCAACATTTGAATTTGTAAAGAGCGCGTCAGTCAGCGTGGGCTTTGCTGTTTACGGTTGCTGGACTTGCTGCTCGGGATGGAGATGAAGATCGCCGAATAAAGGCTTGGATTCAGTGTTGCCAGACGTACTATAATTATCGTATTTGTACGATAATTTTGACCTCTGTGCGATGTACGATCAATAATTTAAAAAATCCCATAATGTACATAGTTTCAGAATTTTGTGACTCTTCAAATGATGGTAGTTGTAATCATAGGGTTTCTATACTCATCCACGAAATTCTGTGACACCAAATGCACAAAATAATGATCTTTAAAAAAACATCATATGACCCCTTTAAGAATTCAGGAGGGTGCCCTGCTTTTAAGCCAAGGAGCACTATCTTGCGGTCCATGACAGAGACTCACAGGTGGAGTTATTTATCTAGTTTTTATCTATTGTGGTAATTTGCAGGTTGTGTCAAAAAGTTGTTGGTCTAGATAAATAGCTGTATTCTGTACGTTTGACTCATGTACGATCATTTTCTTCCAAATACGATAATTATGAGCTTCTGGTACGATACTTGGACATTTCCAATCTGGCAACACTGAATCCACACCATTACTGGCCATCTGTCAAGGGTGTTTCCCTGCCTCAGCCTACATAGGACAAATGTTAAACGATTGCAGAAATGTTATTTATTTTAAGGTTTAAAGTGAAGTCTTGTTTAACATTACGTAGGCCTATTCTTGGAAACGAGCTGGCAGCAGAAATCACAACAAAATGAAATGTTATAATTTCATATTAAGTAAACGAGTAAATAATTTAATAATGCAATTGAAAACAAGGTAATTAATATGACAACTAATAATACAATTTATGCAGCGATTTCAATATTCATAAGGATTCATTTTTAGGTTGAAAATGAGTGCTGAAAAGGATAAATAGCTGTATTCTGAACGTTTGACTTGTGTACGATCATTTTCTTCCAAATACGATAATTTTGAGCTTCTGGTACGATACTTGGACATTTCCAATCTGGCAACACTGCTTGGATTTGAGTCTGTTCATCGCAGTCGTATGGATTCAGAAGATTTGGATGCCCATGGCAATCAAAGTAAACATTACATGACAAGTAAATGATTCATTTTTAGGTGTCGTCAATACGTCAGTTTTGTATGTTTAAATGCTGAAAATACGTAAGTATTTGTACGTTTAGATGCTGAAAATACGTCAGTATTGTATGTTTTAGTGCCTGTAAAAACATAAGTAAATGTACGTTTTATAGAACCACATTTTACGTAAAATACATACGAATTATGAGATCACGTTGGTGTGTGTGTAATGCATTAATGCATCATAAAGTATAACGTACACTGTAATGCATATATTTTCATAAAGTATTGTAACCAAAGTAAAAAATGCATTATAATATTTGTAGATTCCTTGTTACATTTGAAACTGGCTGTTTATACATGTTAATGCATTATATTTTCTAAAGGTATAACAGTAAATAGATTAGTAGTAAAATGTATTGTAACAATTATTCATAAGATCATACAATGCAGTGTAAGATGCATTACAAGAAATAAATACTGCATAAAAATACTTTTAAAAAGTGATGTGACATGTAGCCAAGTATGGTTACCCATACTAGGAATTAGTGCTCTGCATTTAACCCATCCTAAGTGCACACACACAGCAGTGAACACACACCTGGAGCAGTGGGCAGCCATTTTTTTTGCTGCGGCACCCGGGGAGCAGTTGGGGGTTCGGTGCCTTGCTCAAGGGCACCTCAGTCGTGGTATTGAAGGTGGGAGAGAGCGCTGTACATTCACACCCCACCTACAACCCCTGCCGGTACGAAACTCGAACCCACAACCTTTGGGTTACGAGTCCGTCTCTCTAACCATTAGGCTACGACTTCCCTTAAAGAGAGTGACTGCTCCCGCCCAGTTTCGAGCTGGGGACCTTTAGCGTGTAAGGCCAATGTGATAACCGCTACACTACGGAAACCTGCAGCCAATAATAATGCATTATATATAAAGGTGTTAAGTAGCGCAGTATAAAGGTATGCATAGCCAAGACATATGTAAAAGATTTGTTGGGGGATGTTGACATCTGTCGCATGTTGGAGATTTGCCATCCATCCAGAATGTGGAGCGTCTGGTCTTCACAGCAGTGGAACGAGATTCCAGCCTCCATCCGATCTGCTGAGACCATCACAATGTTCAAAGTACAGCTGAAGACTTGACTTAACAGAGCACTTAAACCATACTATACCCACAATCAAAGGCATTTCCAATAAATAAAGTTTATTTTAAAGTTTTTTTTTAAAGTTTATTTTATACAACATCTCTTCATATTCTCTTTGTTGTTTACATTTTTACACACTAACTGTACTTCTCTAAATTACTCTTTGTGATATTGTGAGTAATTTTGAGTCTTGTATGATGTTTGATATACAAACATTTTGAGAAAGTGGTGTCCGTACTTATGAGCGAGCCAAAAATGAAAATTTGCTGAAAATTTACTCACCCTCAGGCCATCCAAGATGTAGAAGAGTTTGTTTCTGCATTTGTAGAAATTGTGCATTATGAGTCCATAATCCATAATAACACTTTCTCCAATGAAAAAGTCCATCATCTGTTGTTCTCTCACAACCAAATCCACCAACATATTTGTAACTTGTAAAGGGTGCTTGATCTGTGCATACAGTATTTCTCTCCTGACTCAGACGAGATGACTTTTTCACTGGAGAAAGATATATTAAGGATAGAGGATGTCTTAATGCTGCATTTGTTTCTTACAAACATGCAGATTTTTGCTTCATAAGGCATTAATTGATGGACTGGAGTTTGTAAAGTTTTTATCAGCTGTTTGGACTCTCGTTCTGACGGCACCCATTGACTGCAGAGGATCCATTGGTGGTCAAGTAATGTAACACTCAATTTCTTCAAATCTGTTCCGATGAAGAAACAAACTCATCTATCTTGGATGGCCTGAGGGTGAGTCAATTTTCAAATTTTCAATTTCTTTAAGGAACGAAACAAGTACTGTAAGTGAATCATTGAATCATTCACTCAAGTGACTTGTTCAAATGACATGAACAATATTATCGTCAAATCAAGGTATCAAATATCATATAAATGACAATTTAATTGACAATTTAAAAACACTCAGTTTGATAAGAGGGATAAAAAGCATAAGAAGAGCCCAGAGGAGTGCTAATAGAGAGCATTACAGCTTCCCCCCCACCAAAGGAACTATTCCAAAGACAATATGGCAAGACTGCTTCATGTTTGGGATGTTCTGGAAGGCATAAGTACACACGGGTCCACGGTAGCAGGGCTTAGTGGATAGAACAGGACAAACGTCAAGGTAAGATATGCAGTCATCAGTGCATGAGGCATTTATGAGTCTGTGCATCTCATGAGCCCAAATTAATTTAGTGGCTATCAGTGCTCGCACGCTGTTGCCAAGAAGGAGCTTCTGTGTAACAGCGATAAAGCAAAGAAATCCACCATAGACTTCAGGCATGGAATATGAGGAGAGATAAAAATATTATATGAATGAGTGTGTGTGTGTGTGTGTGTTTGGGAACAGGGCCATATGGCAACTGTTCTGATTTTCATAATAACTATTTTATGGTAGCTCAATTCATGTCAGTTTTACGTTTTTTTTAACGTTTTTGTAATTTGTTTCAGGGCTACTTTGAAAAGACAGATTGTGTGTTATTCAGTTGGCATAATGTAATTTGAATTTTAAGTATTTTGTATGTTTTCAGTACATTTTCAATATAGCCCAGTGTAGTTTTAGTGCTTCCATTTTTTTGTGAATTAAAGGAGTTAATCATACATGAATGAATTAATCATACTTTTGAGGATTACTAAATATACTCACACAAGATGAAGACTTACTTTCATATCAGTCTTCAACAAATATTTCACATTAATTTTTAGACAGTCACACTCCTATAGGAGCCACCTTGTTGACATCATATGATACATTTCAATTGTCTTTCTTTAAATATATATTTTATTTTTGTAGTTACTACTGACTTTGGTGTCTGTTTTATGTAATGTTGTTTGTTAAGAAAAAAGGTATAGTCATACGTTTCATAATATTAATATATTAAAGATATCAATAGCGCTTGCATTGCGCTATTGATATCTGTGTTAAAAGCACTGCGATTAACACAGTGCTCAATTTGATTGAAACCAAGAATGTTTTGTGTAGAATGAGCAAAGAAATATAAAAGGAACAAAACAAAAGGTAAACAGCTTCAGTGAAGCTTCATACACCCGTGCCAGTAGGTGTCAGTAAATACCAAGACCACTGGGACGAAGAAAGCCCTCAAAACATAACAAGTAAAATGAATCGTTCACAGCAATATCAATAACATACATTTAGAAAATTTGAAAATGAATATGCATTTCATGCCTACTTTTATGTTTGGCTAAAGTTTATCCATTCTACATAATTTGCAAGTGTACAGTCATTATGGTACATTGTAGCAGACAGTCAAAACACACAAGGGACTTCTTCTGTGCTTGCACTCTTTTAAATATTGCAATTAAGGACCACTGCCTGGAGAAAGAGCTAGAGAAAGAGAGATAGTCTTGATGAGTGCTCTAGCGAAACTGTGTGCCAGTCATTAGCAAAGCATTCTCCCAGTGGGTTTTTATCGATTTACCATGACTAATGGATGGTGGGGGTAGAAATCACTTTAAATTAAAATTAGGATTGGTAATACATGCAAATTCAAATAATGCTTTGCACCCCAGTGAAGATAAAATGTGTGAAATGTGCATGTTTTCCTCATACTTGTACAACCAATTGTCTCCTGTTTATACAGCCTAAAATCAGCTCAGATACACATCCGAGGATTGGACGGCTCCTCCAGCTGTGATTTTGCTGGAAATTTCCTGTCTGTTGAAAGTATAAAAAAATCGATTTCACTAAATCTTCACTGAGAAATTTCTTATCAATCCTAAGGACCTGCTATTTGTCTGGTTATTTCCTGAGGCCGGCATGGCGCATCTCAAGCGAGGGTGGGGTTCATTGTGGAGGGTACTGCGGTATCAAGTGCTGATGATATTTCATTTGTCACTTCAGTTAATGTATGGATTCTCTGACAAGCGTTATTTCTCATGGAGTCATTACAGTCTCAAGGGACATAAATATCTCTTGAAATACTATTTGCTTGCTGAATAAAAAATAAACGGACAGTTTTTGCAACAATAACATCCAAAGATATAAGCAAATCATCATTTTTTTTTTCAGTCCAAAATATTCACTGTAGTGAAGCCTAACCCCTTTGAATTAATCACAAAAGATTGGGTGCAGCATGCAAATGAGAAAATTAATTATGCAAAACGCATGGTAAGCAAGTCCCTCCCTCAACGAAGATGGCAGGGCTTATTTAAATATTTGAAAAAGATTTTTGCCCAGAGTCCTTGTACTATGAGAAAAAGCTACATGTTGTAGAAGAAACAACATTTACTGCAAATTTTTACTGAATAAACCCTTTTGGCTGTTGAAGCAGTAGCTACATTCTCTTGATCTTGATGGTTCAAAGGACAGCACAGGTCATTACAGTTTCATCCACATCCACTTGTTTCGGTTTATCAAAGTGGTGCTAAATTGCTCTTTATCCGTGTTCTCTGCTGAGTAAATAATGTGTTATACAGGCTCATTATAAGCAGATTAGATCTATTAGTTACCGCTGTGCTGCTCTCAAATCAGCTGCCCATAGGAGAGCAGAAAATCATTTTAAACTTCAATAAGTTACAAGCAGTGGCAAGCCTCTCCATAATCCACACTGCCCCAGGCAGCAATAAGACTGGATGCAATTATGCAGACAAAATTCAACACAAACAAAAGAAATGGAAATTAGCCTTAAATAAAAAAAAAAGGGGAGAGAGGAGTAGAGAAAACAAGTTGGTCTCTTGCTGTCTCCCTCTCGCCTTTTCTTTCATTGTGAAATTTCACATTGTGCGTTTCAAAGCATTGTGTAAAGATCGCGCGGTACAAACATGTGGGATTGTTAAGGTAAATTAGCCTTCTCCCTGAGATGCTGTACGTGATTCATTCATGTGTTGCATGCAGGCAACAAACGTATGACACATTTTTAAATATTGCATCAGCCCTTATAAAAGCTTTGTACAGAAAATGTGAATTTTGTGAAGGTAAACTCGGTGACATAAAAATAGAGATGTGACATTATTAGACTTTTACCTTAAATTCCATCGGAAATTTTACCTCTGTCCCTCAGTGTGATGTGCTAAACTCCTTTAGAAACAACATTAATTATTTTCAAGTTTTTATGCACACAGCTTATGACTTTGTATACTGCTTGAGGGATTACATAATATTTTAAAGGGGTCATATGATGCGATTTCAATTTTTCCTTTCTCTTTGGAGTGTTACAAGCTCTTGGTGCATAAAGGAGATCTGGACATTATAATCAGTAATTATGTCCCCACTGGATGCAACAAATGCCTCGTTTATAATGGGTTTTAATGTTTTTGTTTCGTCGCTCCAGCCGGACAGGGCATCACAGTATGGTAGGGGCGTAACATTTTCGTCACACGCTTGAGGTATTCGGCCAATCACAACGCTTTGGATAGCTGGCCAATCACAGCACACCTCGCTTTTTCAGACCGATGAGCTTTGTAAAAATCGACGCGTTTCAAAAAGGCGGGGCATAGAGGAGAAACAATAATGTACAGTATGTGGAAAATAATGTGTTTTTGAACCTTAAACCGCATAAACACATTTCATTACACCAAATACACAAAATAATGTTATTTTTTAGCAACATCATATGACCCCTTTAAGTGTTTATTTGCAAAAACAGATAACTCAGTTTTTTTTTTCAAAAATCATGTTTTTTTATTATGTTATCATGTTTAACCCAACTGCAGTTTGATTGAGATTAATTGGAATACACAATGAGAAAACATGATTTTTGTAAATTGTTAAAAACGCAGTTATCTGTTTTTGCAAATGAT